ACAAATTTGGATAAGCCTCTGATATTAACTTCCACGCAATTTAAGCAGAAAGATTACAAACATTGCCTGACAAATTTTAAGAATCGTCTTGGTCTGAAAGGTGACCAGGATCTGTACGTGCTAATAAATGTTGTCATGTCTCCCTGGGTTACTGAATTTGAATTCCTTCGTGAATTGACAGCAACGTTTAAAGAGACTTTACAGGAAATTGTTAAGGTAACTTCGATTTTGCAGATTACAGTCATTCTTTCATAAAGTCACGTACCCTTTTTAATACATTTTGGTATATTTATGGGGTGCTAATATTTACATTATAGCTTTCAGTCTTTCGTAATAAAGATGAGCCAGATTTCCATGCATTTGTTATGCAAGGCACTGACAATCTCTATCTCACACATTTGCCCATGTTTCAAATGGAAAACCACCGTCGGCAAGTGATTATTACAGCAGATTTACCAAAAAATATAAAGGAACAATACCTGAATGCTCGCAAAGCAAATCCATTACACGTGTTCTATCTTGGCAACCAAGATGAAATGAAGCTGGATGATATTGCGTATAATGGAAGTTCTTTTAAAGGGGTTATTTACAAGGATTTTGATAAAGATGGGTTTGTATTATGTGAATTTAACGTCCTTTTATTTAATCTCTTTTCTCTTAACGTTAACGATTTCTTTATTTTACAGAAAACCTATTGATTTTATCAAAGATTTTCAAGTGACCAATGTCCGAGTGCTCAAGAAACGCCACCTAGCCACAGCATTCCAAGATGTTAATTACCCGGTTGACTATATGCCATTCTATATTTACGGTACAAAACAGGAGTTGCATATTGACCACATGCTACTCAAATCTCCATCAATTCAACTTTCGGCTGATAATGTTGAGCTCATCCTTACTTCTGGCGAATTGACATCAACTCAGAGAGAAAATGGTGTTATTGTTCACTTCACTGAAGTTCGTGAAATTGCTTTGCAACCATTTCCAGAAATCAAACCATATCCACAAACCGAAACCACACCACCTCTTACATTTTTCTTTCAACATGACCGCACATTTCAGGTGGAACTTTATAATGATCCAATGCCTGACCCGTATCAGAGTGGGCCGGGTTTGGACAATTTTGATAAAAAGAACCCAATTGCTAAAGGAACGATCAAGTTACCGTCTAAGGATAAGGGATGTTTGTATATTGATTCTTATATGGTTAATAAGGATCCTACTGCAGAGAAAAAGGTTAAGCATGATAAAATTGTGAATCGATCAAAAATCATACCGTTGAAAAGATTTTATGCAGACAAGTTTGATCATAAGGATGAGTTGCATTGGTATGAGGAAAAGGCGGAATAAGAAATTAATAATATACTATCGTATTTGGAATTTTTTTATGATTCGTTACACATTACACATTTATTTTTCTTAGCAAAAAGTGCGTGAATTTTTCCTCGCGCGATTACACGATTTTAACATATTAGTAGAGCATAGTGCTCAGGGTAAAAAATACTACTGTAAAATCGGAAAAATCTGGTTTAATTTTTTTAAAAATGACTAAGTATTCTTCATTACTATAAAACAGCTAGTAATAAAAGAGAAGCCAACTTAAGAAGATAAGTCTTTATCTGAAAATGATGACGATTTATGCTTCTAAAACTTCTTCTACAGAAGTAAATGAAACTATTTTACCTTTTCAAAAAAAAAAACTTTTCGTGTGGTATAAAATTATAAAAGAAAAATGTCTAAATATAAAATCATGTTTTTTTTTTGTTGCTGATCCAACCACCAAAAAAAACAAACGACGTGGTACCATTTCAAGATTTTCAATGATCACCAGGGATCCCTAACAAATTGCATTTATAGTTTATGAATTACCTGACATAATTAAACCCTTTTACAATAACATCTGATTTTCAATTTTACTATTCGAATTGAACCTACAGACCTTGACGTTTTGCAATTAATTTTGAGACAACAATTCAAATTAAAGTTAACTGGTTTACCTTTTAACATGATTCAACGAGATCTTTCAACTTTTCTTAAAAATATTAAAGCTAAATCCTATTTTATTTCACATAATCTTTAATACCAAAACTGTCTATATACTTATATTAATTTTAATAATCAAGACAATTATGATGCAACCCTTATTTCTTATTATAAATTCAAGTTAAACATTCTCTATTGAATCAATTAGCTGCATCATACTATTACAGTTGTGATAATCCTGATTATAAAGCTAAATATTATTTATCTTAAAATCATTAAATCTATATCAACAATTATATGATGCTTCAAATCTGCTTTTTACTGACCTTTTCGTAAATCTACTAATTGTTTAACCAACTATAATTCAAATACACATTCAAATCAAAATCCAAAAGAATCATATACTAATACTCTAAAAAATAACCCAAAAATTCTAAATCATTAACACATCTTTTCAAATACTGCTCCTTTCCTAAGAGATATTTTGAAATGATTAGATAATATTAATAATAAACTAATAACTTTAACTAATAATATTATTGTCGCAAAAAATGAAATAATTATCTTTTAAAAAAACTAAGATGACATTAATTACCATTTAACCAAATTAGAAAAATATAATATTACTCATACTAAAGGAATATACAGTAATAAATGAAATTTGATGATTTAGTTGACTTATTATTTAAATCCCTAATCAAATCCTACCAATTCCCTTAAATGATATTTCTCCTTTAGTAAAAGGGATTAGTCTAGAAAATCAATTTGTTGAATCTTGATTAAAAATCAAAAATATTACTAATATTATTCAATAAATCCTTTAAACAATTTCTTCTTCTTTTAAATGAATGTATAATAATTAAATATTAATATAAAATCATCTTATATAATATCTAATAATAATATTATTATTTCAAATGATTCATTTTTCAACTATATTATTTTCTTAATTTTCAATTTAAAAATAAATTTAAATTTAAGATTATTTAGATTTACTTACTAGCTTTTTACAAAATTAAAAAAGATTTTTAACATACTTATAAGTTTAAAAGAAATTAATGAATATTTTGATCAATAGTTTTAGTTTAAATTATTTATTATTTTAATAGAAGATTTTAATATTGATATTAGTAGAAAATATAAATTATAAATTAAAAAATAGCTACAAACATTCTTACATAATATTATTAATTTAAGCTTTATTTATATTATTACTTCTTTCAATTCTTCATATTCATTTATATTCCGTTTTTCTTCATCAAATCCAGTCTCATATATCAATTATATTTTTACCTTAACAAACCTTTTACACAATTTAACTTTTCTTAATATCTTAAATAATTTTTTTCTTTTATATTTACTAATTATTACCCATTATTTATTACCTTATATAAAAAGAATTTTTTTTTTAATCCTTCTCAGCTAATTAGAAATAACATAAATTTTCTAAATAAACTTTCTTTATAATAAAATAACATATTTATACTAAAACCTCTTTGTAAACAAGATAAACCTTTTACTTAGATATAATTTAAATCAATAACATTTCAATTTAAAATTTATATTCTTTAAATAGTTCTATTAATAAAACTTAAGAATTTTTTGTCTAAACTATCATTACTATTATTTCAAAGTATATTTTTAAATAAATCACTTCTGTCTTTTAAAATTTCTCATACTTCTGACTAAATTTATCCATTCACTTACAAATTAACAAACTTTACAAATTATATTATGTGTAAAATATCTTCTTTATTCCTATTCTCTACTAATTCATCTGCTTTCATAACCTTCTCTATATCATAATAAGAATATCAATTATCCTTAAAATGAAGCTAATCATTTTATTTCATCTACTTAATCATAACTATTTATTATTATACATACAGTATATGAACTTAATATAATATTATTAAATTATTATAATTTAAACAAATCATTATTAACAAATAGAAAACAATGAATGTATTTATAATTTTATTCAAAAATGTATTAATAATTTTTAAAGATACTCTTATCAAAATAATAGACTTTTGTTTAAAAAGAAATTATAAAATTATAGTTCTTAATAGACTCAGTTTAACCATAATAACTCTCTAATCAACAATTAATTTTTAGATCTAGATAGAATTAAATTTCATATTGTAAACTATTTCAAACTGTTACTGGTATTACTAATAAAAATATTATTAATCCTAATCAAAGCAGTTTTTCAATAAATTGGTCTTAATAGGAGAAGTAGTAAAATAATCCAGATAATTTATAATTATAGATAGATATCCATTAGCTAAAAGATCATCTGAATACCTATTATATACTTATAAAAAATTAAATAAATAACTTATAGATAATTTAATAAATATTCATAAATAATCTATAAGTTATATGAATAACATATAATTCATAAATATCTGCAAATTCATATTATTTATAAATAAAAAATTCTAAATATTTTTATAAATAATGTTATTTTATTTATTATTAGACTTTACAATATATAGATCTAAATATAAAATATTTATTATAACTATTATAATAAAGTAAAAACTATTGAAAAAAATTTTTTTAATAATCTATAAGATTAAGTGAATATCTTTTAATAAGGTATGCATTTTTTTTTAAAAATATAAGTCTATTAAATAATTTTAAATTCAATCATATTTTTTTAGCAGTTAATAAATTTTTTACATTGCTAAATAATCTTTTGCTTAAAGTAGATATTGCTAAAATAAAAAGGTAAATTTAAGCTAACTTTGAAAAAATTGAAAATTATTTCTTAGATTATATCAACAAATAAAAGGATCAGAGTTAAAACTTATTTAAAGCAAAGATAAATACATAGTTATTTTATTATTATATTATAATAAATATCATTCAAAAATTAAAAATATAAATAGTTTTGATATTATTATTATAATAGTAAAATTATTAGCTGATGAAGTATTGATTTTAAGTTTATTATATTTATTTTTTAATAATTCTTTTATTTTGTTTTGAATTTCTTCATTTATAAATCCAAAAGATTTAATCTAAAGATTAAGTAATGCTAAAATAAAAGTCACACTTTTATTATTATTCTAATATAATTTCATTGTATTATATAAATTAACTTTTATTTTTTTTAATATATTAGTAATTACTAATGAATTATTTAAATTTAATTTTTTCCTAATGCTTGAAGTATGATATCTTTATATTCTATTTATTTTTCTCTATATTCGCTATATTCTTCATGTTCTTCTTCTTCTCCTTTATCTTCTTCAAAAATATTAGCAATTTCTTTTATATTATTCACATTATTACTATTATTTTTGTTTATTAGTATTATAAGATTTTTTTTCCTTTTAATATAAAACTCATAACACTATGAATTATATATTTATTTATTTCTAAATAATCTATAATATTAGCAAAATTTAACATAAATCACTTAATAATTTCTATTTATCTTTAATTAACATAATTTTAACTAAACATTAATCATTTTTTTTTGAATAATAATCATTAGTAAAAGGTAATATTATTACTAAAATATTAATATATAGTTAATTTTAACAATCTTTTCATGTTAAATAATTAGAGTTTCATCATATTATAATATTAGCAATATAATAATATAAATATGTACTTGTTTTATCAGGATTCTAAAAAATTTTTATAAGCATAATAATAAAATAAACTAGGAATTAGAATCTATTATGTGTTTAAAGTAAAATACTATATATTTAATTTATAAATTAATGTTATCTAAATTTTAGTGATATATATTGTCAGCATTGAAAATTTGCCCTAGAAAAATGATTTACAAAGCCATTAGATTTAATTTTATGTAGATCATATTAA